TTCTTTCTCTCCACCTTTTATTGTTATTCATCTTTTCTTTCTGTCAAGTTTCTTTCCCTTTGATTTTTTTCGTCTTGTACCATCTTTTTTATTCCACTTTCCTTTCTTTTTCTTCCATAAGCATTTTATGAATTTTTTAAAATTTTATGTTGCCTTTGATATTGGTATTTCTTTGAAAATTGGGTAGGTTACATTATTTATGTCTATTCCATTTTCATTATTTATTTTTACAATTTGTTTACTAACTTTTTCTCCTTTTTTTTGTAGGTTACATATTTTGAAAATTTGACAAACTTTAAATTTTTTTCTTATATATATGTTGATTTTAATACTTTTTCCAATTTTCTTTTATATTTATATTTATATTGTTTCTTTTTTTTTGTACGAAATGAGGAAAATTACAAGTCAATGGGTTATAGGTAATGATTTAATAAATACTTTTCTTTATTTTGTTGTTATTTGTGCTATATATTATTTATTTTTTACTTATATTTTGTTGTAGTTAATATATATTTCTATTTTATTCTTTATTTACAATTATAACTATTGTTGTTGACTTTTTTTTTTTAAATTAGCAATATTATATTATATTCTCATTTATTTTTATATGTTGTACATTTGAAATTTTAATTTAACTAAAATCAAAATATTAGGTATTTAGTTCTTCTTATATAATTAGTATAATTTAGCACATTATATAAGATTGGAATTTATTTTTATTTTTTGCATAGTTTAAATTTAATGTAATTAATATTTTACATGTTTTTAGTTATTATATTAAGTAATTGGTACGAAATTATTTTATTCCTTTATAAACATGTATATATTATAATTTAAAAAATATATTTTTGTATTTGGTAACATTATGTAATTACTGAGTAAAATAAATATCTTTTATTTTATTTTTTTTTCCTTTTTTTTTTGGGTTAAAAGCTTTTATTTCAAACAATTATTGGTCTGAATAATGCAGGCAAAACCATCAACCATTGGGAAGGATTCCATGTTCTCTACAATTGAGGCTATATATACAGACTGAAAATGGTTTGTATATATTTTAATATGATGACAAATAGGCACTAGACTTTTAAAAATTTGCATCTGAGTCCAATATATTCAGACCATTAACAGTCTATATAACTTTTAGAGCAACAGATATATTAGCACTAGAATTTTTAAAAGTTGTTACTGAGTCCAATATATTCAGACCAAAAGTGGTCTGAATATACTTTAGTGGGATTGCCATTTAGGTACTTTAGTGGGACTGCCATTTAGGCTCCCAATTTTTAATCCTTACTGATAATAACACATTCAAACCAAAGTTGGTCCAATTATATTGTCGCTAACAACTGCCCATTTTTTTCTTTTAAATATTCAAAATGTTTTTTATTCGTAATTGTAATATCCCAAATTTCGAGAATTCTAGCATCTAAGTTAAGGACCTTTATGTGAGGAAATATTATTTTGGGGCTTAATGGCAAAATTTCTAAACTTGAGGGACTTAAAGAGGGAAAATTTGGATAAGGATCAGCTATTTTTTTTCCTTCTTTCTCCCTTCTTCAGCTCGATTCTGCTCTTCTTTCCCGTCCCCCTACAGCAGAACAAGGGAACCCAGGCTCCCGATGCACCTCCCCTTGAGGAAACCGGTAAGAAGCTTGGTTTTTGCCTTTCTTTTCTTGTTCAAGAACAAGATTTAGGAGCTTGAAATCTTTCCCCTCTGCAGAATTTTCGGATCTGCCCTGCTCTGCTCTGTCCTACCGTCGGCTGCTTTTGCTTGTGGGTGTGAATTTCTCTGATTTTTCGGTAAGAACAACCATGAATCTCCCTTCTCTAGCTTTAATTGGCTTGGGTTTACTCTAAATCCTCTTGGTTCTCCCAATTTTTCGGTAGATTTCCTGATTTTTCCCTTGCACTGCCGCCGGCTCTTCCCCAAATTGCAGCTCCGGCCTTGCTTGCTGGATTCTGGTATGGACAGCTCCTCCAAGTCAAATTGTCAATTGATTGCTGCTTGTGTTGTTGAATTTAAATCATCTAGTGGTTGCCCCTGCAGTGTCCGAATTTTGCTGGAAAAATGGGGGGAATTTCGGTAGTATTAGAGCATAATTAAGCTTAATTCATGTATAAATTGCTTGAGTTGGCTGCTGTGATTTTGGAGGAAAATCCCGTGTGTTTTAGCCCCTGTTTTTGCCAAAGTGGTGCTCCTCCCTTTTGCCGTGAGAATTGGAGAATTTTGTATGGGTGATTTTGCATATATATAACCTGTTTGTAGTGTTCAATTTTGGAGAAAAAAAAAAATAAATCTCGTGACTTCTTGTGTTGCCAAGCCATGTCTTTTCCATTTGTTTGTCCGGGAGTCCACTTGGGAAAAAAATTGGAATTGAAAGAAAAGCCTTGTTCCCCATTGTTTTATCCGTGAGATTGGGAAACCATTTATATATGTATTTGTGTATATAAATATATATATATACACAATCCGGTCAATGAAATTGTTTATAGAATTAATTCTTGAACATTTGGTTAGGTTCTTGATCCTTGGGGCACTTTAGTATGTGGCTTGAGTCTCCAGTATTATGTGATTGAGGTAAGTAAATTATGATAACGCCCTTCGATTTTAAAAATATATTTTAACTTGTTTTTGAAGTGGTGGCGGGACTAAACCCGTTTTATACAAAAATAAGCACGATTGATTTGAAATAAGATTATTATTCTTTTTATTGATTTGAGCATACCTACTTGGAATTGACTGAACTGCCCTGATGAACTAAGAATTTTGTAAATTCTGATTTTTCTGTTAAATCAATGCCCGCGTGGAAATTTTCCGGTTTATTTCTGAAATTTGAGATTGATTGTGAATTATGATTTTCTTGTTAACTTCTGCTTGTTTTGTCTCCGATATGGTCATGTTTTACTGTGCCCGCTAGTGGGAGGTTTATAAACGCTAGCACATGTCGACATATTTACTAATAGGACCGGTTCATTCTGTAATCCTGCCAATGGGATAAAACATTGGTTATTACTGTGCCCGCCAGTGGGAGGTTTATAACACTGGCCATGACCTATAGAGGAGACGTCTATTTCATTCCTGTACTGTATCCGTTTTTCATAATTACACTTGTTGGCATGCTATAAGTTTAATTAAGGGTTATCCATATTTACTTATTGAGTTATCTCATAGTTTTTCCTTGTTCACCATTTCAGGAAGCGAAGTCAAGGACAGGAAAAAACGAGGGGAGTGACGAGTTAAGAGGCTAGCCATCTTGTAAATTGAGTATAGATTTTAGATATAAATCATGATCTTGTAAGCTAGACTTTAATTGGAGATTTTATAAATTCATTGAATGTATTGTTAGTTTACAAGAGATTTGACCTTGAGATTTTGAGCTTAAGTCATGTTGGACATAGAATTATTTTGAAATATCTTATTTAAGTTATTGGATTGTCAAATGTGAATTGAATAAGTTCCGAGCCTTATGCATTTGTGGGACTCTCTCACGAGTGCACGGCATTTGTTATGCCTCGGTTTTGGGTTTTGGAGCGTGACAGTAATGATGTTAATATTTTATTAATTTCTTAGTTTTTGGACTGTTTGTGGTCTATTTATTTTAATTTTAAAATAAGGGTTGAATTTTTATACCAAAATATTCAAACCGTTTTTGGTCTGAATAGTTTAATTATACAGATCAATTTTTGGTCGATCTAGATATATATTTTTTCATACCATGTTTTTTAGACCAACTATCCAGATCAATTTTGGTTTGAATATATGTATTTTGGATTGATTTGGATGATATTCGAACCATTTTGTCTGTCTGAATGTCCATCTTTTGCAGTAGTGTCTTGAACTTTCTCCAATGTGTGCACATCTCTCAAACCTGTACTTTCTACTTTTTCTCATCGTCCACTCTATATTGCACTTCAAGTCTCAAATAATTAGTGTTTACACCTAAAATAAACCAATAGGGTAAGGTCACGTGTCAAGGTAAAGCCCAATTATCAAGAAAATCAATAGGCTGGATTTGGGCTGGGCTGGCTTACAATTTAACGGCCCAGACGGATTTCCAAGGAGGTTGGATCTTAGGTGGCAGAAGATAAGATTGGATCTGGTAGTTTGAGTTTGATTTAAAATGGAAAATTGAGGATTTTTAGGTAGTTATCTTTAAGGTTGTTGGAGATAAGGTTAAATAAAAGTTGGATAACTATTAAATAACTGCCAGACTTGCAATCCTATTACCAGATCATGGAGGAATAGTGCCGAAAATGGAGGAACAGTACCGAAGATCATGGAGGAAGTTACCAGCATCGAAGGGAACAAAAACAGAGAGGAGAGATCAGTTAGGGGCCTGCCCAGCACACACATAGATTGCCCAGAGCATGTTTTTCAGCTTTCATATTGCATTTTCCATATTTCAGCAATAGTTTCCAGATTTTCCTGATTTTCCTGATTTTCCAGATTAGTTCATAGCCTTAGCCTAGGTTTGTTCATCATATTTTCTCCCACAAATTCCAATTTAGATTAGTTTTTAAGCATTTGGAAGCAACTTAGCCTTCAAAACAGGTCTGCCCTTTTGATTCGGTTAGTTCTTCTTCTTTTTATGGATTTAGTTATGTTATTCGTTCATGTAAATAGGTTGAACATTTTCTACCTTTGTTCTTTTGTTTCTGCACAATATCCAGACATGCAGTTTGTTTAATTTCAATTTCCAGATTTAAATTTGTAAGTTTCCAGACGTTAATCATTTCATAGTTTCTTCTTCAGTTTTAGTTATCATTATGGGCTGTGTAGTTGAAATCATTGTTTGTTATTTTACTTTTTATGTTGTCTGCGAATTTAATCTTTATGGCATGTTATTTTCTGTCATTTATTTCATGTTAGTTTAATTGCTTTAGGATATTGAATTTATTTTAGGATTTGTAGCTTTTATTACACTTGTTTGGTTGTGAAGTCCTTGGAGGTTTCCAAGGCAATTAGTAACCCATTTTGTAGAGCTCTACCCTTTGTTTTGCAACATCGTCTGGGGCGCAATTCATTTCACAGACGTTCTTTCCAGCCATCCTATTGGAGGTCGACCGCTGGAAAGGAGAAGGGTCGTCTGGAAAATCCTGTTTTCTTGTTTTTAGACAAAGAAAGTGGCACGCCTAACATCCAACTCACATGGTAAAGGCCGGCTGAGGATTTTTGAGGAAACAATTAGTATGATTTTCAAGAGAGAAATCTTCCCTTCATATATCAATATTCTTTTTAAGTCTTTTCATATATAAGGAAGTTTATGAATTATTAAAGACACAATTATTGATTCATCCATCTTCATATCATATTACTTAAAATGTTAAAATCTCATTTTGGTCCATCTACTTTAACAAAAAGTCCTTTTTTAATCCCACTAGTGAAAGTCCCTTTTTAATTGCTAAACTTTATTATTTGATCCCTTTTCTAGTCCCTCTATTTTGGAATTTCTATTGTTCAGCACACCATGTGTACAAGAAAATAACAAAAGGACTAAAAGGAGATCGGATAATAAATTTTAGATACTAAAAAGAGGTTTTCTTAAGTAGAGAGACTAAAAAGGATTTTTTGTTGAAGTAGAGGGATCGAAATGATGTTTTAACCTACTTAAAACTATTCAACAACCTTTTAAATTATCTAAACGCTCCATAGCTGATTTGTTATTAATCATCTTATAATTATTCTTTATACTCACTAAAAACTTTTTACTAGTTGCATCTTCATTTATATATCTTACTTCTAACTTATCCCACAATTCTTTTGAAGTAGACTCATGAACATAAGTATTAAAAAGGAAATCAAACATATCATCTAAGATATAGTTTTTGCAAACATAATCATCATTCTTCTGCTTTTGCCTTTTCCTAGTTTCTTGAAAAGTTTCATTCTCATTTTCCTTTGATCTAGCATTCATGAAGACAAAGGCAATGTTGAGAGTTATGAGAAGGATGTGCATTTTATGTGCCATTGAATAAGATTGCCCTCATTAAAGTGATCTAACTTTTGGAAATTAGTAGCCATTTCACAAGAAGTTGTAACCATGATTACAAAATAAAATTAGCCTAAAGACTGTTGGACAATCAAGGTAGAAGACTTGTAAAAAGTTTTCATAGGGTGCTACAAATGCCACTTTCCTTTAAACTAATTTTGCTCTATTGAATCTAGTATGCAAAAAGGGTAATTGAAATGTTTATAGGATACAATGAAGTGCCCACATTGATCTTGCCTTTGCTTTAGCAAAATTCGTGACTAAACTTTATTTAGGAAAACGATAAAACAATAGTTGTTGTAGTGGATTTTTGCAACAATCATGATATAAAAAAAGGTTGTTTTATTTCATAATAGTATGGATTTTCTTCTATGCTCAAAAAGAGAAAGAAGAAGAAGAGATAACTTTATGTTATAATGGCAAGACGTGTATTGACAAAAGACGTTCCTTTTCTAATTTATTGGAAATGATTTGAATAGTATAAATGTGGTTTGAACCAAAATCTTGTTACCTTCTCAAAAAACTTTTCTATGTAATTGCTTTGAATCAACTTTGTTTAATTTGAACCAAAATTCTTGAACTATTTTGAAAATTCTTTGATAGAACAAATATATAAGATGTCTTGCCAACCTAGTTGGCCTATATGATGTACTCCAACATCCATGACTAAACATTTTTCTTTGTGCCATCTCTCTCTGAGCTAGTTTTTGATAACATGTACAGTATCTTAACGTTATCCTTAAGGGGATATAATGAAAAATTTTAGATTGAACTTGTTTTCTCATAACTTTTTTTTCCACCACTTTTTCATCTACAAGCACCTCATATTGGAAACCAAAGTAAATCCTCATCATTTCAATGATCTATTGACCTTAATTTTGATATTCCAAGAATTAAAGGAAATGTAAATGTATTTGTGATACACTTTTAATCTAACTAACTATATTTGTTATGTAATTTTGAAGAAGAAAATTCAATTATAAATGTAAAATATAATTCACTCTTTGAAATGTGAATTATAGATTTCTCTTTATTAAGAAAGGGAGGTTATATTTTATTCTTAGTAACATATTTCTGAGATTGAGTATATATTTTAATCATTAAATGAAATATTTTTCCAAAAGTAATTAATTTTTTTTATCAAAATCTTTCCAAAATGCATGTGCATAAAATGTTTGGAACTTGTTAAAGTTCTACTTATATCCATGAAAAGGTTCCAACACCAAGGTATTTGTGCAAGAACTTTCAGTCTACTGGTTTCTGGTTGAAAGCCTCAAGAAAGAAAGTTCCAACCATAAGAGAAAAGGTCTAGCACTTTTGCGAATTCTCACTCAAAACCTAATGGTCAAGAAGATTGAAAAAGTCTTAAACTTATAAAGAGCATTTGGAACTAATGTGTCAAAGGCAAGTTTGACATTCCAAATTGGGCAAGATTATTTCTAGATGTAGTGCAATAGCTAAAAGTTTAAATTAAGCACTCTTGAAGAATAAATAATGGCTATCGGAGGTTCAAGCAACTAAAGAAAACAAGAAAAGAAAAGCCTTCATTTTTGAGAGAAAAAGAGTTACAACCTTTCATATTTTTTATGCTTAAGTTTTTTATACATTCCAATCATCTTGTGATCATTGTTTCTTTTCATTCTATTTTTTAATTCTATTTTGTCAACAAAGTGAGAGGGATTGGTTAGCCTTGTTATATCTAGAAAAAGTATCCTTATGGTATAAAATTGGGTTCGTGAGAGATTGTAATAAGGAGTTAGTTTGTTAAAGGTGGGTAGCAGTGACAAAACTATTGCAAGCAGTTTCCTTTCAACTTGTAAGTTGGAGGAGAGACTTTGAATCCAAAGCAAACTCTTAATCAAGGGACTTGAAGAGTGAATTAGGCACAAATTATAACCAAACTACTATAAATCATCATTGAACTTTCTCTTCCCTTACTTTTTAATTTCTGCACTTTAATTTATGCATATGTGATTATGCTTATTCATTGATTTACAAATAAAAATTGCATAAGTTTTCAAAAACCCAATTCACCCCCTCTTGGGTTGTCATCATGATTTAATAAGAACTTATTCATGCAAATATCAATCTTTACATATATTTATTTCTCAATTATATATTTTTTTTTGTTTCATAGTATGACAGGGTATCGTATTGCTTTTTGGGAGGACTTTACCATCCAACACTTGGTGGGCATTGCGAAAAAAAAAAAGCTCTAATCTTTTGAAACCATTTCAAAACCCAAAATTTCTAGTAACACGAATGGCAAGTATTAAATAATGATCTAAATTCAAACCAATATTAAGTATTCAACGAATTTAGCTCATATACTTTGGACTTATGAAACTATAACTTATTAAATGTTTAGAATTCATACAAACACAACCTAATAGAGATGTAAAAAGCCTATAATAAATAAATAAAGTGGTATAACAAGTCACAACTATCTAAGCAATTAGTAATAATCTTCTTCAATTAAAGTAAAATATTTTAGTTTCAAGTCATATGCTATACAAGTGGGGTGGACTAAAGATTGAAAAGGAGTTGCCTCCCATTGTATTTGTGCAACCTAAAATAAAATAAAATAAAATAAAGTGGTATAATAAGCTAATTAAATTTTGACATTTAAATGAAATAAATAAAATAATAATAAAGTTGGCCTCCTCCCCCCTCTCTTTAATCATTAGGATTGATCTATACTTATAATTTAATGACTTATAAAATAATTATTAACATGTTATATTATTGATGTAACTATTACATGAAAAATATTCTCAATAAAATAGAAGCTGTAGTAAATGCCCCATTCCAATTTCATTAAAAGTCCAACTACAAGAATAATTATTCAAAATGAATTAATCAAGTGGTTTAAAATTTAAGATTTTAAATTAAAAATTTCAAGCTATCTTCTTATTGTAAAGTCTACAAACATATTTGATGCACCAAAGAAAATTATTAAAAAAAGAAAAGAAAAAGTAACAATGAAAGAAATAACAATGTCACAAGTAAAATGTTTTTTTGAAGAATATTTTACATAATATGATGATGTGATATATATATATATATATATATGGGAATCTTATTTTATAGTTTAGACTGCATCTAACTCTATGGTAAGAAGCATTGGATGAGGGGATGGCTTCAATATCAGGGGGCCTAATGCCATTCAGTAGTTAATGTAATGCAATTATATTTGATATATTTTAAACTGTATTATACTTTTTCATGTGTATATATATATAAATTATTTTTATAATGATTTGACATTAAACAAGTGATTATACACTAATTCATATGTGACAACCTGAATAAAAAGATTGAATCATAAAATGTCAAGTGATATTGTACGTATGATTATACAAAAAGTGTGTGATGTCATTTTCGCAAAAAGAAAAACGTCAAAAGACAATGGAGGTGTCTTCATAAACCTTCAACCAAGTTTAGTGTATCCTCATTAGCAGATTTTTTCAACCTCTCAGCGGCCTTCTCAACCTATATGGAAAACAATTTTAGTTAGGAATTTGGTGAATAAAAATGCAGTGGGAGATGGAACGAAAAACTGCTTACCACTATTGAATTTATATACGTTACCTCTGTATTCCAGTTTGTTCTGGCTGTGAGAATTACTAATGTTACTGTTTGTAGAAGAACCCCAATAACCATCCCACACCAAATTCCCTGAAACATATATTATCAAACGATTCATGTAAATTCAATGTTTAGGAAACTAAAGCAGGTACATATGGCAAAATGGGAGACTTACTTCTACTCCTAAACTGGTTTTGAAACCAAGAACACACGCGATGGGGAGACCAACCACGTAATATGTAGCCAGATTCACAGAAGCGACAAGACCTTGCCATCCACTTCCAATAGCCACTCCTGTAGATGGATGAATCCATGAGTTTTCTATGGTCCATGAAAATTTTTAGAAAACTGGAGAGAAAAACTAGCTAGGTTTTAACTTCATTTAATAACATATAATTATTATATGATCATATCATGCCTTGACACCATTGAATCGCTTGTAAAGGCTTTGGTCATTACCTGATAGAATGGGCTGAATCCCATTGAGAAAAACAGAGATGGCTAACAGCGGAGTCAGGTTAGAAACTGCTTTGATCACCTTGGAATCACTTGTAAAGGCTTTACTCAAGTCAACTTTGAATATCAATACCACTGCAGTAAACACTATGCTAATAACAATGCTCGTTATATTCGCCACAATTACCGAGAGCTTGGCCACCCTTGGATGGCTTGCTCCTAGCTCGTTACCTACTCGAACGCTGGCAGCTGCGCTTAGGCCTAACATAAATTGCAAGTCCCAGTTCAAGTAATTCATGCTGAAAATTCATCCATGATGTCAAGATTTAATTCCTATTAGGACTTCTTGGTATTTAAAATGCTACAACTGCACGTGAAGTTGTTCAAATCTCATAAATACAATTTTGCTGTGAGTTAAGGAAATAAAAATTAATCAACATACCAAATAGAGATTGAATCCAGTGCAATTGTTGGATTGGAGATGAGACCTGATATAAGAACCAGTCCTTGGCTGTACCAAATCTCTAAACTGCTTGACCAACATTAAGAATAATTAAGAACTCAGTTATGGAATGGTAAAGTCTATAAACTCATTAGCTCAATTTTAGAGATAAGAGTCAAATTGTCAATTAAATTGAATTTTGTTTAGGGAGATTTATTTATGAAACAGTAAAGGTAGTACCAAAGCATGACAGCAGAAGCAATGGTGAGCTTGAAGTAAGGCCAGATTCCTTTAAAAGCACTAATGGAGAGGCCAGTCCAAGTTTCCTTGCAAGAAGGGCTGAAAACAATATAAAGGCCGTTTGCAATTACCAGCAACCACCAGGAGAAGCTAAGAGTGAGGGCGGCCCCGAGGAGGCCATAGTGAAGGACGAAGACAACGAGCCATGAGAGAAGAACGTGGAGGAGAAATACCCCAACCGACATGTAAGCCAGGGGATTGACTATGTTCTGAGCTTGGAGGAACCTCTGCATGGGGCAGCTAATGGCGAAGGCAAAAATCTGAGGGATTAATCCGCGAGCGAAGAGTTGGCCTCTCTCTGCTATACTATCAGATTGGCGCATTGCTTTAAGAGCGGCACCGGAGTACCAATACAAAAAGGTCAGTAGTATGGCGGCGCCTACTTGCAAGATGATTGCTCTTTGGCAGACAATGCCCATCGCCGCATATTTCTTGGCCCCGTATGCCTGCCCACACACTGTTTGTACTGCACTTGCCATCCCCAACTAAGTTTTAAAGATTAATAAAACAAGGATTAGAAAAATTTTTATCGGCAAAGATTCGAACGGAGGATACATAATAACTTCAACCCAAATTATAAATTAAGAAAATTAGTTGCTATGATTCTGTATGGTACCACTTCTGTTCAGATAATATACACATGGTTCTCATTTGGAGGTTATATATAATCAGTACGGATTAACAATTTTGGTGGCAAGTTTTGGTAATCATTTCAATTCAGTGGCTTCTTGTTTCTAGAAATTTGGAAATAATACCGGCGGCCCACCCGATTAATAGGCATTGAATCTTGGATTAAATATTCACTTTCATGAGTTACGTGTTTGAACCACACTAATTTGTTTTTTAATTAATATGTAAATAATTACAATCTCTTAAAAAAAAAAGAATTTGGAAATGATACCCAAATAAAAGGTGACAGTTTTATTTGACAAATGGTAAATTTAGATAATTAATGCAGCACTTGTGACATGTTTTGTTGGTAGTAGTGACCATTTTGTAATCAAACCATAAAAATAAAGTTAATTTGAGAAATTTTCTTAAAAAATTATTTTTTTTAATTTTTTGAACAGCCCTAGAAAATTATTTTAGGAATAGCTAAAACATGTTGATAATTTTCAACTAAGGGGATGAATTAGGAATATTTTTTACTTTTATTTTTCAAGGAATAAGTATTTCTTGATTATTTGAAAATGCAAAGGGTAATTAAACATTAGAACTTTGTTATTCCTAACTTCTTATGTGTTAGAGAGTTGGTACCACAGAAATTTCTAAATTTTAGTTTGTTTTTATAATTTGACAAAAATAAAAGAAAAAAATGTCAATACAACCAACTAAACAAGCTCTTAGGTTACTATATTTGGTCTTAAATTTTGAAACAAATGATCAAAGCTTTGTTTGCCAATGTTACACTAGACTGTGCTATGTCATAGCCATAAGTTTTTTATTTTTGTCTTTTACTATTGTAAAAATATAATTTTAATTAAAATTCTTAAAAGTATAAAAAAATAATTAAAATTAATTAATAATAAATTAATTTTTTTTAGATAAGGTATTGTATGAAAAAAGCTTTTATAAAAGGTAATGATTAATATATCTTCTAGTTCAATACACCTATTAATGCCCACCAATTTAGTCATTAAATTTTACAAGTGAAATTTTTCTCGTGTTAAATTTAAATTTAAAAATAATAATTTATTAATGAGTGTATTATAAAATATGTTAAATTAAAGGGTTTACCAATCATTATTCCTTTACAAAACATGTTCAAACAAGACCTAAGAATCGATGTGAGACTTAGGGAATGTGTGGCAACTTTTAAAAGCAAAGTTACTTTTAAGCTCCACCAAATGACCCCTTAAACACATGTAAGTCAATTTCTACTCTCTTATATATGTGTGTTTAGTACTTGTTAGTTTGAACATTAAAAAAAAAAAAGAAAAAAAGAAAAAAAAAAAAGCATTTAGAAGAAAAAGCTATGGGCTTTTATGTGGTAAATCATCCTTAATAGAGTACCAACAAAGGACCATTTGGTAGCATGGTAAATTCTAAACAATGAATTTAATGCAGTATGGTGGCTATGTGGAGTGCATATTGAAAGTGTTGTTAAATTGCCAAATAGTTTACAAGTTATGGATAAAATTAATGTTTTCTTTGAGGTATCTCCTATGTTCTGCACTCTGGCTGTAAAGAGGCTTTTATCCAGCACTTTTGGTTTGGTGGGAAGACCGCTATTGTGGGGTGGGAAGCAGTCTGGTTCGCTTTTATTTGGACCATTTGGTTAACCAGAAATGAAAGGATTTTCAGAGGCAGTAAGGTGGACGTGGAGAAAATGTTGGAACTGATCATGGCACTAAGGTGGACGTGGAGAAAATGTTGGAATTGATCATACAAACAAGGTCTTTCCACATGGATTGCAGCAAGGTTAAGGGGAGTCTTGTATTCACTATTAGATTTAGACTGGATATCCAATCCTAGGGCATGCGCAAAATTGATTCATAAAAACAGGTGTGGGGGCTTGATGGAAAACTGATATAAGTATACATGCTGTTGCAGATCTTATCCTTGTATAGGTAGTTGGCTTTGAGCAATAGTGCAGGATACCACATACTGTAGATATGTTTGTAAGAGCAGAAGTGACCTTTGCACTCTCTTAATAAAATTTGTTGTTCTAAAAAACAAAAAAGTTCCCAAATGAAACCTACTCGCTTTAACTAATAAAAATTTAGTTAAATGATAAAATGGGTAGTGCCATAGTTACAATTACATAAGATTGTAACTTTACAATTATAACATTATTAAAGAAATGTAATATATTATTAAATAAATAAATATATTATATTATGAATAAAACTTCAAATAAAGAAACTTATAAATTTATAATATCATGAGGTATAATAACTATATTATTTTTTGTTATAAAAATCTCACAACAAAATAAATAATAAGAAAAAAAATGTCTTTAAATATAAGAAAGCATCATTGTTTTATCTATCGTCAAATTTAGATTAGATGTTAATTTTGTATTCACCTCAGCCACAAGTTTTCACATCATAATTTCAAAATCTTGATATAAAAATCAAATCTCTATAGCTCTTAGGTGTGCAGCTACCTTCTTGTAAATGCTAAAAAGAAGGAAAGGAGTAACATTTATATCCATTTCTACGTACCATAACACCATAAGCAAAACCCTGAATTCCAACGTTAGCAATGGAAGCTCCAGCAAGTTCAATAGCGCCAAGATGGCCAGTGAACATCAAGGTGACAAAACTGAGCATGAAATTGAAAATGGAAACGACAATAGAAGAGCCAGAGAGGAGCCAGAGGAGCCTGGACTCCCATGAGAGCAGCTTGGGCCACCATCGGGCATTGAGGGGCGTATGCTCGAGAACCACTTCCACGGCATCAGAAGACAAATCCGAAATCCTAGGATATTGTGACATGGGTGAAGCCATCTTCAATCCACCACACTAATAATATTGATGCACGTCGGAGGAACCGAGAGGTATTGGCACCAGGAAATGGAATCTTATGGTGTTACACCTGAACAGAAAATGACTAATTAATATCCTTTTGTCTTTGAAGAAAACTGTTGGAGAATAAAAGGAAGCTAACCAATTTATAGGACTACATTTGGAGAGAGGCTTTTACTGGTGAAATTAATCACTTGGAAATATTACATAATGAATGACGATTGGAGGGACGAAAGGGTGATAAAAAAATTAAATATTTACATCAGCACCATAATACCTCAGGAGAATTGTGTTGGTAAAATTTTAGACTTTGTTTATTATTTTGTATTGTAACTATAATTGTATGTGTTTTTGTTTTTTAATATTTTAAAAATATATTATAAAATATTTATTAAAATTAATAAAAATATATAAAAAAATTAATTAAATTAATGAAAAATAATAAATTTTACATTTTTAAATAAGATTATGCGTAAAAAAAAGTTGTAAAAAATAATATCTAATGAAGTTCTAGTTTCTTCTATCCACAACAATTGTCAAAGTTCAAAAATAAAAAAAAAAGAACAAAAATATCAAATCTCCTCTCTATACCACACCTGCTGTTGGACCGCAAAACCAAATACTAGGAAAGGTGAAACTTTCAAATTCACCACCTACCCATTAATTCCACAATCCTTTTTGTCTTCGCAAAAAAGGGGAGTTGTGGCCTTTGTTGCGTCCAATAATGTAGTCATTCTTTCCCCCAGATAAGGATTATTTTAGATAGGTATTAAGATTGTAATTATTATTATTTTTTAATTATTAAATTATAAAAAAATTAATAAAAATAATTTTAATTTTATTAATTAATTAAAATAATAAATATAATATTAATGTTAATATTGATATTAATATTTTTATTTTTTATAAGATTTAATGACTAAAAAAATATAATTATTATCTTTAACATGTGTTTAAAAAAAAAATTTAGCAAAATCCTCAAGATAAAGTTGAGATATATCATTTTCGTTTCCGAGAAATTAAGGGAGTTTAGAAAACAATTAGGTGTAAGGTAGGGATTAGGCACCACAATTACCATGAAATATAATTATTATACTTTAAATTTAGAAATATTTTTATGGTTACGAGTAGGCCAGCTGTATTTTTAATTCCTGGAGAGCGGAAAATTCGTCTTAATGGGGGAGATATTTCACCACATAGCACAATTAAGAAAGTAGTAACAAATTAATGCAATAAAGAATAAACAAACAAATCCCATGGTAAAGCGTCTTGTTGGAACTTGGAATTTTTTAATTTTTTTGAAAGCTTTTCTTATTTTTCAATCTCTCTCTCTTTTATGCATAACTTTCATTTTCATTTTTTTATTTATTACTTTTGATCTCAAACGTTCTTTTTTACTTTATTTTTTTTTTCCCCTCATCTAGTTTATTCTCAGATCTCTCATATTTTCCTCATTTCATGAAGCATGCATTTAAAATGAACTTTCATTTGGAGAACCAGGGAACCCAAAACAAGCAATAAAGAAATGAAAGCATAGAAGAATAGGATCGAACCCGATACTTTCAATTCTTTTATTGCCGGCGAGGCCACTTTAAAAAAGAATCATATTCGTTAGGGGGAAAAAAGAGAGAAGATAATCATATTCTGAGAATTGAATACTGGAGAAAATATATTCGATGCTTGATAAAGATATTATAAAATATTATATACGTAACTAGTTTTTTTTTTACTCGTGCATTGCATAGGATTATTTTTATGTTTTTCATATTAATTATTTAATTTTATAATAATTATTTAATTAATTTAAATATTAAGAAATTATTAATAGAAATAAATATTTTTTATTTTAAATTTATCTTAAATTAATTGTCATCATTTTTTATTTTTAAGGTAGATATATATTTTTTTCTATGTCATTATCAGTATTTATTTATTTCAATTAATCATCTAATTATAAAAATCTTTTCTTATCTTTTATTTCTTTTTTAAGGGTATTGTAGATAAATATAGAAATTATCCTTAAATACTTAATTTAGAGAAAAAGTAAAAAACAATAATTATTTTGGTATAGAAAAAATATGATAAATTCATTAATAAATACACATATACATTTTCTAATAAATCAGTTATCTTACATATTTTATTTTTATCAACCAAATGTATTTTTTTCCTTTAGCTTAATATCTATTTTAATTTGTTAGACTCTTTTGCCATCTTTTTGGCTTATAAAACTAATAATTTTAATTAATTTTTTACATATCATTTTATCTTTTTTTTTTTTATAAATATATTAATGTCACTCATATTAAGAATATTATAGTTTCTTTGCATTAGTTTTAGTTTTAAGTTATATTAATTATTATTATTTATACTACCTTTAATACATTTTAAAATATAAAATTACTACACCATTAAAATTATATAATAAATAATTATTAATTTTAGGTTAATGTGGAAGATAAAGTGGTACCTTCATATAAATATATATAGAGCTTTTAGCATGCATTTAGTAATTAATATGCATTATAATTCTTTCTTTTATTCTTTATAAAATAATGATAAAATAATTGAAAAGATAAAGATAAGATAAGAAGAGAAAGAAAATGGAAAGTTAAAATAATAAGTATATTTATTACTGTTTACACCATAAATTATATTTTTAGTAATGTCATGTGTTAATGGATAAAGTGAAATCAAATCTACTAAAGGGATGCGTATCTATAAAATTGGTTGGAAGGATAAAGGTTATCTAGTTTGTTGCAGTTTAAATTTAAAAGAAACAAAAATCCCTAGAATTTGGGAGGAAGTTCAATTGAGGAGTTATTCATGATCTGATCAGCCAAGAGACAGTTTGCAAGAAGGATACAAATAGAAACTTTCTGATTTTTCAACACACATGGCGAGCCCTACACAAAACTCATCAAATTTTCAATTCTCTAGTTTCATAGTGATTGCTTACCTTAGCTTTCATATTTTAGTTTTAGCATCGATCCCAATAGATTTAAGTTGTTTTCAGCATTCAAGTACCCAAATTAGTTTATGTAATTGCTTCTTTCACGCAATAAACATCAAGTTAATTAAAATTTGTATCTCATTTAGTTTATTTTGGATCTATTAACTTAAATTCACAGAAGTGGTAAAGTCCTTGAGATTGTCCAAGGTAGATTAGCAACCCATTATGCAGGAAGGCATCCCTCCCTCTTGCAAATCGTCTAAAGGGCGCAAAAAACTCAATTTTAAACCAACGTTCTTCCAATCATCCTAATGGAGGTCGACCACATGGAAGAAGAGGGTCGTAGGGAAAATCCTTTTTTCTTGCTTTTCAGAAAAGTAAGTGGCACGCCTACATCCATATTCCGCACGTGCGAAGCCACTTGAGGATTTTTGAGGAAACAATCCTTTTGTGGCACACCCATTGGGACCTCACCATGTCTCACTTATAGTTTTTGGATCCACTTTTTTTGTATCCAAGAAGAGGCGTAGCTATGCCACCCAAAATAGGAACAGGGATAAGGAGGCTCAGCCATGACAAGCTAAACATGTAAATGATTGTCCATTCCACTCTAAGGGTGAAAATGATCCCATTACTTTTCTCCTAGTGTCAACTTTGGTAGAACGGTCTTATGGGAGTCCAATATTCAAGGAGAAAGAGGCAGATCGTGGGGGTGACTTTGTTGAATCAAGTAATGTGATTAGAAGCTTGACTAAGCGTATGGAGTTAGCATGTAGAGAGTAGACCCAAGCTATGCAAAAATTTGTCGAAAGTCAAGCAGAATATTGCAAACATCATAAAAAGGCAATAAGACAACATATGGTTGAACTCAGATGGGTTTTTGAAGAAGGTACTAGAGTAATGCGAGAAATTGGGGATGAAAGTCATAGAACATAGTAGGCTATTTCAAATCAAATGGTTAAACAAATGCGTTAGCTTAAAGCAGAAGTACCACTGCCAGCTCATGTGGTGGATCCTCTTAAGTAGGTCTAGAATCCACCGGCTTCAGTGCTCGAAGGGCAAGTCAATCAACCACATCTGCCTCCATAGATCCAATTGGCAGTTGGTGGGCCAATGTAGCTAGAACTAGTAAAGGTTGCACTACATGTGGCAAATCTATGAAATCGACAACAGTTGCAAGAAAAGATCGACAGAGGGATTCTACGGTTCCCAGAAAAGGATAATGAAACAATGGGAGTTGATGCAAACCCATTCCCAGACTTGTTTGTTGGAGTGAACGTGGCAGATCTTCAAAGCCTTTTCAAGGACAGAAATTGACCATATTATAGGCGCATGCTTACAGCTAATGACTTGAGATAGGTCATCAAGAAGGCCAAAACTCGCAAAATTCAGGCCAAATCAGATCCTCCACAAGGAAGAAAGCATGGGGGCATGATCTAAAACAACAAAAAATTGGTCCAAGTTAGAGTGCTGTGAAATCTAGCTATGTAAAACGGCCTAGGATGGTGAAACTATTGCTCATATCTCCTAGCTAGAAATGGGAGCAAGTGGTTCATCCAAAGTTCCCTAAAGCTTAAAACCCAAGAACTTTGAAGCGGCACTTACAACGCAAGAAAGTAGAAGAGAGACGTCACCAACAAATGGAGAACTCGGGGGGCATGGTAGATCTGGTTCAGCCGCTTCTAATGAGAATGAAATCAGTATGGGTCTTGAAAGACAAAAGCAAGATATCAAGTTAGACATCACTAGAAGATGAAAAACCAAGAAGTCCAACTTCTCCTCAAGTTCTGACTGTGGAGACAAGTGAGGAAACTAGCCTGAAAGCAATGTTCAAGGTGGCAAAAGAAATGGAAAATTCAACAAAGTAAGAAACCATCCAATTTGGTGAGTTTTTTGTGAATTTGTCTTGTTTGGTGCTTATCCTTCCTCTGGTCTTCCAAGCCAAAGGAGAATTGGAATCTGCAAATTATCAACAGGTAAATCAGGCTAAGGAAGGAATTATTGAGATCCCATTGAAGGAGGATGAAAATGAGACTTTAATAGACAAAGTTATTTTTCAGAAGCCAGAAGAGAGAATGGCCAAACATATAAGGCCATTATATATTCATGCTCACATGGATGATATGCTAGTGAATCGGGTTCTGGTAGATAATGGTGCTGCTATCAACGT